GTGATTTTCTGAATAACATTTTTCTTTTCTCTAGTTTATTTTATTGTAAGAATACCATAGGTAATATATATATAATATGCAGAATATGTGTTAATTGACTTTGTTATCAGTAAGGCTTCTGGTCAAAATAGGCTACTAGGAATTACGGTTTTTGGGGAGTCAAAAGTTATATGCAGATTTCTGGTTGTTAAATGTTTTAGGGAGTTGGCACCTCTAACCCCTACATTGTTAGAGGGTCAACAATTATATTATAAATGAAGTATCCAGACAAATTCAAAGAGAAAGAAAAAAGATTATTGGTTACCAGGGACAACGGGGGAGGGTGACTGCTTTACAGACATAAGAATTTTTTTTGAAGGTGATGGAAATGTTTTGGGGCTCAGTAGTGCTGATGGCTGCCTACACACCATTCTGAATGGATTGAACGCCACTGAATTGTACCCTATTTGAAATGATACATTTTATATTTTGTGTATTTTGTCATAATAGTAAAACTAGTTGTAATGGCTTTCCATATTTGAATCTGGCTTTATTTTGTTTGTCAACAAACTAATCGTACTGATGTTAAATAAAGCTAACAAATTAACTTTCTTTATTTTGATTCTTCCATTCCAGTGCTGCCCTCCATGGCCTGACCAAACTGAAATGCTCACACTTCAAAGAATAGGCATGCTACTTCTTATCTTCATTTCTGCCCTCCTCTGCCTGGCTAATACTCACTGGCACACGCATTCATATTTCAAGACAAGACTCGTGTCACCAACTCATGAAATCGGTTGTGAACTACTCAATACAGACTTTGTGTGCCCACCACGGCTGGGCAACTTTTAATCCAATCCATGATATTGTTTAGGTACTATGGCTGCATAACAAACCACCCCATAATTTGATGGCTTAAACCAATAATATTTCTTTTATTCACAAATCTGCAGTTGGGGCAGGGCTTGATGAGGATAGCTCCTTTCTGTTCCATTTAGCCCCAGGCAGGGCAACTTGAAGGCTGGACTTGTGAGAAAGCTCATCCGCTCACATGTCTGGTGGCTCATGGAGTCATTGGCTATGACCTCAACTGGGACTGTCAGCTGGGATGCCTACACATGGCCTAGCCACGGGGCCTGAACTTTCTTACAGTATCCTGGCTGAATTTCATGGTGAGTCCCAAAATAGAGAAAGCCAAGCAGAGCCATACTAACTTTTACGTCTAACCTCAGGAGTCACGTGGCTCCACTTCTGCCACATCCTATTAGAAAGTCATTCAAGTCAATTTAAGATGAGGTGATATAGACCCCACCTTTTGTGGGAGGAGTGTCAGAGAACTGATGGGCATGTGTTAAAATCACTGCAGATACTGCCTGATCTCAGACAGGTGGACCCGCCCTAGACTTTCGTGGCCCTTCTCACTTTTACTAGAATGTTCTTCCTTATTTCTCACCAAATGTCTGTCTTCATTCCTAGACAGCTGCATGAGACTGTATCAACTTTGCTCAATGTCATATCAGTAGGTAACACTGTGCCTAAACGTTTATTGCATAAATATTTTCTTACACACAATTGTTTACTAGATTTTCTTTGCCTGTGGTTGCCTGAAGACAGGAATTGTGTCTTATAAAGTTCTATATCCCCAGCACAGGCATGGTGGTGTCCAGCACAAAGCAGGAGCAACAGATATTTGCGAAATAAATTAATAAATGCATAGATGGATGGCTGGATTTGTTAGCTGAGAATATATGTATATTTGTGTGTGTAGGTGAAAGACTTTTTATCAGATAACCCCAGTAAGGACAGAAATTTAATTTTCTTACCTCTCTACATTCAGGGTTAGGAAAACATTTAAAATGGAATAAGTAGTCAGTATGTTCATTCAATTTACTAATTAAATGAATAAATAAATGAATTTGTAGTTTGCTTTCTCCTACAGAAATAAATTGAGACATATTAGTTGTCAAATGACTGCAGCTTATGTTATATTTAATGAATTCTATTGTAATTTGATATTTTTTTCAATGACCACTTTGTCTAGTATTAATTCTGACCTAGTAATCGTACTAACGTAGTGATTCTCTAGTGGCATTGATTTCGCCACCCGAGAGATGCTGAGCAACGGCTGGGGAGGTTTCTGGTTGGCTCAACTAGGAGGATGTTACTGGCATCTAGTGGGTAGACACCAGGGATGCTGCTAAAATCCTACAATGCACAGGTCAGTTCCCCTACAAAGAAGAATGACCTACTCACAAATTTCAATCTGTGCAAAGGTTTAGAAACATTGGATTAAAATTCAGGGAAACAAAGATGACTAAGACACTGCTTTTGTCACTAAGAGACTATTACAAGAGAAATAGAAAGGTAAATAAATAATTATAACAGGGTGACTTAAATGTAATAATCTAAATGTGTAGAACAAATAGAGATGGAATAGGGTGGGAGTCATGAACTGACCTAGACTTCACGTAAAAAGTTCTATAGACAGGGGAACAGCTTGTACCAAATCATATAAAAAACATAGACTGAAATATATACATTTAATAATGCCAAGAACTAGTAGGAACTGATTAGAAGGAAATGGAGATCCCCTTTACCAGGGAATGAACACCTAAGATGGACATTAAGGCATCTCTTGATATCTATAAAGGATATTCAGCACTGCAGCCATCTTATTCAAAATTTCAATGTAAATTTTTGATTTAATGAATGACAGATAGATTCATGGAGAAACGGAGGCTTTACTTTATTTTAATATTAAAATAGGAAACCTCTAAGGCCGGCTGTGGATCCTGACTTTTCTTGGGAGATGAAGACCCTTCTGTCATCTACATGTTCTCTTCCCCTCATTAATTGGTTGCCTCTCAGCTCTAAATCCACCCTTCTCATCCTGCTGTGAAATCTTGCAGCTGGGCCCTGTAAACATTTCCTCTCTGTCAGCTGGTAGAATGTTAGGCTTTCTCAGTAGGAATCAGTGGTGCGGTCCTGAAAGGGGCTGATGGAAGAGAGACATTTTCCTTCTAAGTTTCCATCCTCAGTTATTGTTGTTGCTACTATTATTACTATTTAGTGTGAGGTGTATGTAATGTATATATCAATACATGTTTTGAAGACTCATACCTAAAATTTCTTAGAGTGTCCACACACCAGTAAAAAGTTGGGGCCAGGCAGTATGGCTCACACCTGTAATCCTAGCACTTTGGGAGGTCAAAGTGGGAGAATCTCTTGAGCCCTGGAGTTTGAGACCAGCCTGGGTAATATAAGAAGATCTTTTCTCTACAAAAGAAAAATTTAAAAGTGAGCCAGCTATGATGGTGTCTGTAATCCCAGCTACTTGGGAGGTTGAGGTGGGAAGATTGTTTGAGCTGGGAAGTTGAGGCTGCAGTGGGCCATGATTGTATCACTGCACTCCAGCTCGGCTAACAGAGTGAGACCCTGTCTCAAAAAAAATAAAAGTTGGAACTGAGAGACTGAAGACACAAAGACTAATTTCTCTTGCCCTCCTATAAAGTCTCTTTTCAGTTTCTACTTTCTGTTTGCCTTCCCCTTTATTATTTTATTTTATTTTATTTTTAGTTCCGTAGGTTTTTGAGAAACAGGTAGTGTTTGGTTACATGAGTAAGTTCTTCAGTGGTGTTTTGTGAGATTTTGGTGCACCCATCACCCGAGCAGTATACACTTGAATCTCCCTTTAGCTTGGGTAATTCACGTGATGAATTACTTTGAGTTAGACTCCCTGGTTCCCGGATTTAACACTAACCACATCCATAGCTTTGGGCAAAGTATATAAATTTTATGCATTGGAATCACCTTGTTTTATAATTGAGTGTATTTTAAATTGTTAATAAAAGAGAGTACAGTTTACATAGTGCCCTGAAACATGTAGATAATATAGAAAAAATGCTTTAGAGGGTACTCTGGCATACAATACGTGTTCAATAAATGTTTTTTACCCTAAGTCAAAAATCTGTCTTCTAACACAGAGATGTGGCCTTATCTTTGAAAGCATTGGCAGGACTCTTTGACATGAAGACTATGAATCCTACATATATATAACAAGTACTGCATCTCCAGTACTGGTGAGCTAGTAAGTTAGTAAGATAGTTGTGGTAGAATTAGGACCATTGAATAGAGTATTAACAGTTAACATTTATTGTGCAAAATCATGGATGAAGCAATGTTCCAGCTGGTTTTGCATACATTAACTCATTTAATTCTTAACAGCAACTGCATCAGCTCATGTAACAGTAAATGTTCTCCCGTCTTGTAATACTGAGGGGATACTGAGGTGTCCACTGTTTAGACAATTTGTCCGGGTCACAGAGCTAAGAAGGGGCAGTGAGGATTAGAAGATTGTGAGTCTTCAGTGATTCTAATGGCTGTATTATACTTCCTCTAAAAACCACAGGTATATGTGTTTTGGCTTAAAAAAATATATTAGAATGGTGATGCTGGGAAGAACTTTGGCAATCAGCCAAACTAACTGCTTGAAAGCCAGGGAGATACTGACGTCCAGGCACCAAGTAACTTGCACACATCTTTAAAGTTAATTTAGTGTTATTTCTGGAACTGGAACCCAGCTCTCCAGGTCTCCTTAGTCTCAGTTCTATGCTCTTATGTGTCTCTTGCATTCTTCCAACAACATAATTAATATTCCAATGTGCATTATTAATTTCCTACATGGTTACTTTTTTTTGTATCCATGTCTCCCCAGTCAACTATATCCTTTCCATATGGAGTCTTAGAGTCATATAAATTAAATGAGAACAACGTGTTATACAGGAATAAGGGAATAGTTGCTGTACTTTTTTAAAAAATAAAATGACTTCAATCGGTAGGTATTTATGGAAAAACACTAGAATCTTTATAAATATCTTTAGGCTTAAATATATTTTAATTGGCTGCACTAATAAAAGAGAAGGACTTCAACAGAAGCCTTGGGATTAATAATTACTTTGCTAAAAATGATGAATTCTTGGCTGGTATGTTTGCAGGGATCGGGCTGTGAGTCCCTGAACGGCTGGAACCCTGGCAGAGAGGAGCCCGGAGTGTCGAAAGAGGGGCATCACAGAACAGATGCATCCTACAGAGACTGGAGGACTCCGAGCTTGGGGAAGAGACAGTTAAACTTCCCCGTGAGAGCGAGTTATATCATGCAGCGCCAGTGCCAGGTCAGCAGTCTGGCTGGAGCTGGACCGGCTGGTGGCGCCAGGCAGTGCCAAGCACCCCTGGCAGCCCTGCAGAGGGTTCTCAAATACAGATTTCATTCTGCAGTCCCGGCAGTGCTTTGACGACTGCCTCACTAAAGGAAGCTAAAAGCTGTGCCGATGCCTCCCAGACGAGCCTCGTTGGAAGCACAGAACCTTCACGACTCGGAGCCGCTGACACGGTGACAAAGGGAGCCCTGCTCAGGTGAGACGAGGCTCCGGGGTTCGGATGCTGGTCGTCTGGTGCAGGTCTCTGCCGTGTGCATGAGAACAAGTCCGGCTGCCAGGCTGGACACTGCTATCAGACAGATTGATTTGCTAAGAGTCTTTCGGCATTTCCCTAATTCCTTTTTGAAAAGCAAGAGCTAGGCTGATCATGCACCTGGGTCTTAAAGCCCCCTCTAAAATCGGGGAGATGGCTTTAGAGAGGATCCAGCTTAGGAGAAATCTAGCTCTGACTCTCGGATGTGTCCGCAACTGCCCTGAGTCTGCTGGGCAGGTTCCCAGAGGTGATTCCTCTCCGTAGTCTGTGAACTCATCACGGAATGCTGGCAATGGACTATTCCAGGGGGTCTGGAGTGCTGAGTTCGAGTTCAGAACCTGTCCTAGCAGCACCAGGAAGCCCTGTGGTGTTGGGCAAGTCACATAACCTCTTGGTGTTTCTGTTCTCCATTGAAAAAGATGGTTATGAATTTGCCATGACAGGTTGAAGCTCTTTAGGGGTAAAACTGTGCCCTATTTACCTTCGTTTGCTGAGTCCTTGGCACAAGGCCTGGTGTTTGACACACCTAAAAATTACCCATGGACTCGGTGCTTTGAGACAGAAAAGGTGATGATAAGATGCAGATGTAAACTTGGAAAGGCCGGGAGATCTAGGTTACAGTCTCAGTGAAGTCAGCTACCCGTTCAGAGCCCTGTAAAATGAACACAGCCAGGTTTTGTGTTGTGTGGTGACTCAGTGCAGATGTGAGTCAATCTTAGGTTCATGGTGGGCACTTCAGCAGGTGCCAGCCCTGGTGGCCTTAGCTTTGTGGATGTCAGACCCCAGCGACAGGTCTAAGGGTTGGAGAGGAGACTGGGAGTGATCTCAGGCTCTGGGATGAGGGCGTATTTGGAATAGTATGGCTGAAGCCCTGTCATGATGACCAAATGGCTCTGATGACTCTGAGCCATTTTTCCCAGTTGGAGTCAACCTCCAGGATGACTGATCCACTGGGCAGGTTCTGCTGTTAAGAGACAACATGGTGCTCGCAGTCAGGCAGATTTTCTTGTTTCAATACCAAACAGTTACATCCAGAAGACAAATAGGACCGTGTTAGCTTCCTGATTAAATCTCCCTTGCCTCCCTCACTTCCTTGGGGGCCCTGTCGAGCTTCTTCCTTTGCCTGACTGCATTGATATTGGAGTACGTGATCTCCATTCTCTTGCTGCTATATTCCCTTCTGGCCTTATTTTGTGAGATGCCCTGCTTCATTGCTTCCGTGACAACTATTGCTTGTATTTTCCTGCTTGCTTCCCAATATTTCTCATCTTCATGCCTCTGCTTAAGCTGGGCACCCCCTCCAGTGACCTGAATGACTTGTATTCATTGTTTAAGGCTACGCTGAGCTCCTGCTTCCTTCAAAACAGCTCCCTAGGCTCTTTTAGGTGTTTCTCTCTTGTCCTGACAAACACCCAGCGTTGTATCTATCACGTAAGATTGTCCTGCCGTTATCTACACCCTGCCCCACTCACCTGTGCTCCTTGAAGGCAGGGACTGTGGTTTCACATCCTGATATATTCAGAGTCTAGTGCAGTGCCTGGCTCACAGGAGGGAGAACCTTGTCCAACTGTGGGGAGGAAGAAAGAATATCCAATTCCTGGGAAGATAACAGGGGGCTTCCAAGAGTTTCATGGTCCTTAAGAAGATTGTGGCTCTAGATGACAACAACAACCAGGAAACAAAGCAGAAGCCCAGAGCCCAGACACCAGCGTTGGGGGTCTCGGGGAGGCTGCAGCTCAAGGGATGGGGGACATGGGTGCTCTGGGCTCACTGCAGGGAGAGAGATGCCCACAGGTGAAGGCGCCCGGCTCCTGCAAGGCACCAGCCTTGGTTTGCGCTATGCTGGATGGAGTGGAGGCTGAACCCTGGTCTCACAATGGAAGTGAGATTGAATGGTGGGGTAGACAGTGAGGTCAAGCACTCAGTGAGGATCAGTTGCATTGTTAGATTATTTATTCCAGCACTGATTTGCTCCCAGATGACGGTATGTTGTTTTCGGACTTGGATAATTTACACAAAGAGGTTTTTAAGGCGCTGACTTTGTCCCAGAATGGAAGCCTGAGGCCCTCTGGTGTAGGTAGTGAGGAGATCTTTCTGGTGGAGGCTGGGTGCACGCAGGCTGTATTTCTAATTAGCCATGCGGCAGGACAAGGAGGACCACAGCCTCCATGGTTCTTCCTGTTGGACGTGACCATCCTTTGAGCAGAGATTGCTACAAAGGCAAAGCTGGAACAGCATGGATGCCTAACTGTGCCCATGAGCAGAGTCTTTGGGTTGTGTCCGACACATCTCACGCTAGTTTAGGCAAGAGAGGAAATGTATTGGGTCAGGTGACCAGAAAGATCAAATACAACTGTGACCCAGCTGGACCCATGGGCTGAATAAAGTCAACAAATATAAGTCTTGTTTTTTGTTCATATTTTCTCTGCTTCTCAAGTTTGCTTTTTTTCCTGAGTTCTCTTTCGTACAAGCAAACACTCTCCATGGATTGTCAAAGAGAACTCTGACAGTTCTCATTAGTAACTCCAGTGATAAAAGAGGACCCCTTTCCCTAAAGTTCACGCTAAATCGTCGGGTCCTTTGTTTGGCCTTGTTTGGCTCCCAGACACATCCCAAATACAGCCCTGGGGTCCAGGGATGCAGTGTTCTGAGAGGCCCAGCCTGGGTCAGTCCCTTCCCTGGCCCTGCCCCAGCCCCATATGAGAAGTGCATGCAATAAAGCTACAACCCAAACTGGCAGGGCAAGAGGGGAACTTATAAATTATCTAGTTGACTTCCCTCATTTTAGGTTTATTAATTTGGGAAAGGAGCAGTGCTGTGAACATTTTATATAGTTACTGGTTAAAATCTAGAGAATTAAAAGAAGGGAAAATAAATAAAAACCGCACATAATTCTGTAACATTTAAATGTACTTCTGATCATTTGATTTTTCCCAAATACTTTTAAAGTTATCTACATCATTTGAAATATATTAATATTTTGGAGCTCTGAATTTACCTTAACCATTTTTCCTTGTCATTCATTTTTTAAAATTATTTAATGACCTTCCTTAGCACGAATGTACACATTTATCAAAATTCATTCAGTCATTCCCCTAGTATCAATACCTTCTTTTTAGGGCTGAAGAAATTGAGGTCTAGAGAAGGGAAGTGATCTTCCAAGATTGGCGGCAGAGCTGAGACAATCTTGTTTATACCTTATTTACCAAAGTTAAATTACCTACCTAAGGTCTTTATCTCTCTATATATACAGATAGATATCTGGAAGACATGAAAAAGTGATTACATTTTTTTTTTTCCTTTTGGTGGCTTTAAGAATGATAGATAGGCCAGGCATGATGATTCATGCCTGTAATTCCAGCATTTTGGGAGGCCAAGGATGGCAGATCATCTGTGGTCAGGAGTTCAAGACCAGCCTGGCCAACATGGTGAAACCCCATCTCTACTAAAAATACAAAAATTAGCCGGGCGTGGTGGCAGGCACCTGTAATCCCAGCTACTTGGAAGGCTGAGGCAGGAGAATCACTTGAACCTGGGAGGCAGAGGTTGCGGTGAGCCGAGATTGCGCCATTGCACCCTAGCCTGGGTGACAAGAGCAAGACTCCATCTCAAAACAATAAATAAATAAAGAATTGTCAGATAAAAAAGAGAGACATATTCGAGCTAAGTAAAATGTTCCTCCCAAAATGAGGCCATCTGAAGCCCTGATGAGAAGTTATCCTCAGAGGAGAGGCCAGTGGGGCAGGTAGAAGCTGGGTTAGTTACCGTGGGGTGGGGGGAGGGCATCAGCAGTGAACTTTTCTACATTTGCAAAGACGGAGAATATATTGACAATGCACACTCTTCATGAAGGGCCACATGTAGGTGCTGCCTCTGCCTGTACATTTTCATTCATTTCACAGATATTGATTGCTCCCCTACTCTGGGCAAGGCACCGTTCTAGGCACTGAGGATAAGCAGAGAGAAAAGAGAAAGGTGGCACCGAAAATTAGACAAAGAAATAAATGAAAATGAAGAAGACAAGATGGAGATGGGTGTTAACTCAAATGGTGAGCAATGATGAGGACTGGGGAGTGCTGGATTGGGACTAAGTTATCAAAGTGGCTACTTAGGAAGGGAGGATTTGGTTGAATTGTGAAGGAGAATACGGGCTGGAAGAGAGAGCCTCTCAAGCCATGGTGAGCTGGTGCAAAGGTCCTGGGGTAGGCGGTGCAGGGCTTGTTTGAGGAACAGAAGGAAGGCCAGCCTGTGTGGCCCATGGCTGAGGCTAAGAGGAAGGTGTGGAGCCAGGCTAGGTTGAGGTCAGGGAGAGGCAGGGCCAGGCAAGGGCTTTGTATTTCTTTCAAAGTGTTCTGGGAAGCTCTGGGGAGTTTTGCAGCTGGATGGTGCCGTGCTCTCATTTCTATGTGGGAAGATCGCACTGGCTTCTCTGAAAGCGCAGATTTTGTGGAGCCAGGAATGGCAGCAGTGAGGCTGGTGAGGAGGGTATTGTGAAGGCTCAGGCAGAACACCCTGGTGCCTCGTACTGGCTTGGAAAAATCAGCTGGGAGGGGCTGCGTGGAGAGCAGGCCACAGGTCACAGCAGAATTGAATGGCGCTGGTGACGGGATGGTGAGTGGTGGCCTGTTTAGGGAAAAGGGAAAATTAAAGAGAAGCCTTACCATTTTTAAAACACGTGAGAATTTAACACCCAATCTGTTTGTCCTTCATTTTCTACTTTGTTCAGGAGAAAAAGTAGACAAGAGGGAGAAATTGAAATTCAAATAACCCAACACTCAGGCAGATTGCCGGCAGCATGCGTACCTCTCACCAGCACAGTGAGGAAGGGGCCTGCGTCACTCCACAGATGAGGCAGGGTCCCGCAGCTCCTAAGGGGTGGAACTAGGATTGGAAACCACTCCTCCTGGCTCATCTTTTCCTGCTAAGAGTGCTGCACCAGCTCT